GGCATTTTCCCTTCCGCACTATCCAGGGCATAACTGGGTCTTCCGATGGAAACTCCAGGTTGGTGGGGAAACCTTTGGTGTGTTCCCTAGCTTGCCGCAGGACTTCCTTAGAGGGGTGTCCCATGCGACGGTGCATAATCCCATAATCGACCGCATAGATCGTTGGGAATATAGAGTACGCATCCGGTGCAGGAATTGTACTGACACTATAGATAGTGTCACCGGGCTGCCGCGGTAAAAACCTGAATAAAGGTTCGCGCAATCCCTTTTCATAGAGACTTATGTGTCGGTCATTGCCAGACACTTTTAGTTTATCCTGGAGTAAAACTCCGAGCGACATGAGGCAAATATTCAGGTCAGGTATATAGTAGACTGGAAATAACCGAGTGGTTATGTTCCCGACATCCTTGATATAATAATTTAGGACCGTCGTACCGAACCCAAGTATTCGTGCAAACCCGTTCGCGGTAGATGCGGTCGCAGGTTGCTTAAATTCCTCAAAGTCGATGAAATCACTCATGTCAAAAGTGAAATGTCGAGAGGCCCCCGAGTCGAGAATCCAGGTGTTACCCTGTTGTGCCTTATCTTTCCCCTTACATTTTGCACATGCAGCATAAGTTTGCGCATGAGTGCAATATATTAAAGCCAATGTTACAGGACTCAAATTAAGATCTACACTACGCTGCCCTAACTGTGATGGCGCGTCAGTGGAGTCCTGTAAAGGGGAAGATGGCACGTACGAGTAGTGCTCGTCAATAAAGGCTTTCTGGTCGAAGCCAGCAGCCTCCGCAATAGTGCGGTCCAGGTCTTCCTCGTCACCGAGACTGACAGTCTCCCCCTGGTCCTTGTCACTACCCCAGTCGATAGACTGGTTGTCGTCGTGGTCGCTGTCCGCAGCATCATCCGCGCGAGCGACTCATTCAAAGCGAGCGCGCTTGGACGCTCGGCTGGAGGTGACGGAGTTGGCGTCCTCCATGTCGACATCCGGGTCCGGGTCGACTTGCCCGACAAGAGCATCCAAGACCTTGATATCCTCTTCAGTGGGACTTATGTCGAGGTCCCGCGCGAGCTTGAAGGCTTTCTTGATACGCTTGTTGTTGTAGTGACTGGTATCCGCCGAAGGAGGCGGGTGGAACGGACCTTGCTCTTTGACCGTCCGAGTCTTGCTGCCAATAGGCGCAATGTCAAGGACGTGAGCGATGGTCGGAGGAGGAAGGGAGACGGTTGAGGCGATCAAGACGTCGTGGGCATGGTGGTGATCGTGGTTTTGCCCTTGACGCTTCTTGCCTGCGCGCTTGCCGCGATAAGGGCGCTTCTTCCCATCCCGCGCATTGCTGCTGCTGCCCTGAGGGCGCTGCTGCTGCTGCGAAGAAAAGGAGGGATCACCCGGCTTACGCTTCACCGCCGAGATCTTGTGCGCACCGAGTTGTGTCGTCTTCTTGTTCTGGGATTGCTCCCAGGCAGTGACAACAGCCTCCCGGACTTTGTCAATGTCCATCGTCGATGTTGATCCCTGGACTAAGACTTGAACGACAGAGTCATACCGAGGAGGGAGCGCATTGAGACAGATCAATCCCTGGAGACAGTTAGGGATGGTCTGGCTCTCAGAAGCCAAAGCGTTAAAATGCTTGGTGATCTTGGCAAAGGTGGGAGCGGGATGTTGGTCGGCCGGGATCCTGGTAGTTAACGCCCCACGCAGTTCGTTATAGATGGAGGCAAGAGATGAGATACCATACGTGAAACTGAGCTCCTTCCAGGTTTCTATAGCCGTTGTCTTGTCTTGAATAAGGGT